GCCCTCCTGCATCAGCACGCACCCAAGTTCCTGCTTCGAAGCATCACTATAGATAGTGAAACTCCGTGTAGGGTCCGGTATAGTCAGCACGGGTGCTGTAGTCAACCTCTCCTTGAGCTCCAGAAAGCTCGACTCACAGCGACGACTCCACTCAAACTTAGCTCCTTTCCTTGTCAAACGTGTCAAGGGTAGGGCTATCTTCGAAAACCCCTCAATGAACCTCCTGTAGTAGTCTGCTAACCCGAGAAAACTCTGTATCTCGGTAACAGACCTCGGTGCTGACCAGTTCCTCACTGCCTCGATCTTCCCGGGATCGACCTCAATGCCCTCGGCTGTAACAATGTGACCGAGGAACGCCACTCGATCGAGCTAAAACTCGCACTTCGAGAACTTGGCATACATTCTCTCCTGTCTAAGAGTCTCCAACACGATCCTCAAATTCTCCTCGTGCTGGGCTGCGCTCCTCGAGTAGACCAAAATGTCATCTATGAATACGATGACAAACTGATCCAAGAATGGGTGGAGGAAACGGTTCATGAGATCCATGAACACCGCCGGCGCATTGGTCAAGCCAAACGGCATCATGACAAACTCATAGTGACCGTATCGGGTACGAGACGCGGTCTTAGCCACGTCAGAGTCCTTGATCTTCAGCTGGTGGTAGCCCGATCGCAAATCTATCCGGGAAAACACACGGGCACCCCTCAGCTGGTCAAACAAATCTTCGATCCTCGGGAGTGGATACTTGTTCTTAACTGTCAACCGGTTCAAATCTCGGTAATCGATGCACATACGCAAGGTCCCGTCCTTCTTCTTCACGAAAAGGACAGGTGCTCCCCAAGGAGATGTTGGGACATATGAGGATCTCAATATGCACAAGTCACGGACAAACATTCAACATAAACCTATGCGCAGCGGATCTAAAGGTTTGATGAAGAAAACTTACTGCTTAAAATTTATGTAGATCTGGCTGGCCCGAACAGTTGACCACAAATCAAATCTTCTCGGAATCGAACAAACTTGACCAATCCAGAAAGCTGGCGTCCCGGCGAAGTCAACGGCGTTGACCGATTGGAAATCGGATGGTTCATGCGCTCTCATGCGCGAGAGTAAGCTCCGGCAGCTGCTCCCTTTTGGCGGCGCGTGGCGGCGCGTGCGGCGGCAGCTGGCGGCGATCTCGACGGTGATCTCTTTGTCTTGTCGTCCTGGTCGTCGTGGTATGGTCACTTGCTGGTTTTGGTCTCCGGTTTGGATGTATGATAGATCTGATTGGAATCCCGTATATACCTTAATATCTTCTACTGTATTCTCAAACAGCTATCTAGATCTTGTATCAGTGGAGCACAAGAAATAGAACTACTCCTTGGAAGAGAGAGAGAGAGGGGGCGGACGCAATTCCCAAGGATATGGGATTCTTCTCTTCTTCCATAAGCCTAATGCTGTATATATAGAGCTACAGTAGGGACCCTAA